CCCATACCCATCATGATGTTGTCTCCTTGTGATTAAAAGGGTCTGCCATTTTGTTGCCCAGTCACCCAGTTTTGTGAGATCCCTTTGTAACTCTTCGCAGTCTGCTTTGAACTTTACAGTCTGGAGTACTTCGGTATTTTTTGCAAATTTTGCCATCTCACTGTTTCCTCTCTTTTCCATATCATTTATGAACATATGGAACAGCACTGGTCCTAATACAGATCCTTGCGGGACCCCGCTATTTATTTGGGACTCTCTCCATGTGTAAACCAACCATTTATTCTTACCCTTTGCTTCCAATCTTTAAACCGGTTACTGATCCATGAGAGGACCTTCCTTCTTATCCCATGACTGCTGACTTTGCTTAAGAGCTTTTGGTGAGGGACCTTGTCAAAAAATTTCTGAAAGTCCAAGTACACTCTGTCCACTGGATCACCCTTGTGTAAATGCTTGTTGACACCCTCAAATAATTCAAACAGATTGGCGAGGCATCATTTTCCTTTACAAAAGACTTGTTGAGGCTTCCTTAACATATCATGTTTATCAATGTGTCTGACACTTTTGCGCTTTACTATAGTTTCAACCAATTTGCCTGGTGCTGAAGTTAGGCTCCCCAGCCTGTGATTGCCAGGATGGCCTCTGGAACCTTTCTAAAATTATTAACTTTAATGGGATTTGTGGGTGCTCAGCTTCTCTGAAAATCAAACCCCTTCTATTTAGATGCTTAAATATAGATTTAGGAGCCTATCCTGAGGCATCTAGGTTTGAAGATTTTGGCTGTAAGGGATCAAAAAATCTCCAGCTAGTCCATGACTGCGGGTACTCTGGACATTTCTTCAACAGCTGCTGGAAAGCCAAGAGAGGGCTGGTTGGACTAATACCCAGTTTTCCTAGTTGTGTTTTTAGTCAACAAGAAAGCTGAGAATCCTAAACTCTTTTCAGCTTTCCATTTGACTGACCCCAGAGAAGTGATTCAGATGTAAGGTTTAGCTAATTGTGGGAGACAGACTGTGTTGTTCATCTGTTTGGTGGGAAAAGTCTGCTTTTCCTCAAGGAGAGGAGAATTCATATTTGTTCGGATTACCCAGAGCAACTCATGCTCCTACACTCACACATATTGCTTTGAGGAATAAATTCTGTGTTCCTAGTGGAGATATTTACTGTATTTATTTAACCTAGGAGGAAGAAAAATGCAATCTATCGATCTATTGATCTGTCTGTCTAGTTATGATGAAGCTGAAAAAAGAAAAGACAGAGAGAGAACTAAGTAGGCTGAGTATTGGTAATCCTCAAGATCACCTGGCTTTTATAAGGCTGTGTCCAAAAGTCTACTGAAGTTAATGGAGAGACTCATTGACTTCAGTGGACTTTGGATCAGGTGCACGTAACACTCTTCAATCCTAGATAAAAAAATGCTTTGGCGAGGAAGTGCCCATTATCCTCACTTTACAGATGGGAAAACTGAGGCACAGAGCAGTGCTGTGACTTGCCTAAGGTGACACAGTAGGACAGAAACAAGGTCTCCTGATTCCCAGTCTAGTGCCCTACACACTGGGCCATGCTGTTTCTCAGAAAGATGACCTCTTTAAAAATCTTTATTATTCCTGACTTCTGAAAGGCTAACTGGAGAAATTCAGTTTTCAGGGCTGTCAGTTTAGCATCTCTCACTAGCACCAGATTCACTGTAAAGCTCTCTGCAACATGTCTTTTCAGCCTGGCAGAAATGGCATATGATGATTCGTCCATGGTAAATGCCAGCCATTTAATGACTTAGGGAACCAGGGAAAGCAAACACAGACATTGCTATCTTCTAAATCGGAGAAGACATCGCATGCCATAGTAATTTTTTTGGAGCTACAGAGAGCAATTGTAAAAGTGCCAGTTTCATTCAAATTCTTCCAGGGCTCCAGGCCCTGGAGTCCTGCACAAAACCACAGAAGTCCTGAAAATTCATTTAATCTTGGGCTTGTAAAGGATTTCACAACAGAGTTTTTAATGGAGAGGAATCTTCAGGAGCATGCAGTTATTACACTGTTACATAGAATCACGGAAAGGTAGGTCTGGAAGGGCCCTCGAGAGATCATCTAGTCCAGCTCCGAGTGCTGAGGCAGAACCGAATAAATTTAGACCATCCCTGACAGGTGTTTGTCTCACCTGTTCTTAACTTCCAAGGATGGAGGTTCCACAGCCTTCTTTAGAAGCCTAGGCCAGTGCGTAACTATCCTCATAGTTCTAACGTTTTCCCTAATATCTAGCCTAAATCTCCCTTGCTGCTGATTAAGGCCATTACTTCATGTCCTAACATGTTAGTTTCAAACAAACCAATTCTGTGGCCACTGTCTAGGAAGAATAAACTAATGTGATATCTGTGTCCTGTCATTAACCCCACGGGATCATGAAAATGAAAGGGGTGAAATCCTGGCCCCACTGAAGTTAATGGTAAAACTCCCGCTGTCTTCCACAGGCTGGGATTTCACCCATAACATCTAAGTACAGATACCACTTGATAACAGGACTCAGAGCAGACAAATTAGTATAGCTGCTACCTTCAATAGGATAGCTGGCTCTTCTTCTGTTTCTAGTCCCTCGGGACCTTTCTGTGTGCTATTCTCATGGGTGAGGTTCACTCACCTATTGGGTGTCTGTGTAAGTCTCTTCACACCGTGGTAATGTTGCAGAGGGGAAAGTGTGGGTGGGGTGGCCATGCAGAAGGGTCTCTGTATGTCATGAAGTTCAGGGGGTCTCTGTGCTGGCCCTGAATTTGGTGGGCCAGGGCAGGGGACATGGAATTCATGATTAAATGGCTCCAGTGTCCAAAAAGCCCAGCACAGAGGAGATGGGTTTTCAGTAGATAGGCTGGGATAGCAGCTAGAAAGGGTGCTGCACCATGCCTGTATTTTGGTGGCTAGGGGGTGGCTTTTCTTTCCAATTTCCTCCAACCACACAATGTTCGATCACTTGGACTTTGTGTAGGGAGGGATGAACTTCATCCTTGTTGTGCCATGTGATGGCTAGAAAGGATTGTTCTTTTTGTGATTGGGGAGCGACAGCCTGATCCTACCACGTAGCCTTCAATAGGAACAGGAACCAGCCCTGCATGAGTGGAAATTGTGGAAACAGGTATGTGGGAGTCAGAAGATTTGGGGTCTATAACCTGCTGTACCACTGATTCACTGCGTGAACTTGGGCAAGTCTCTTAACCCCACTGTGCCTTCATTTCCCCATATGTAAAAGGGAGATAAAAATAGTTAGTGTCTTTCTTCATGGGGTGTTGTGAAGTTTAATTCATGAAAGTTGCACAGAAGAGAGATCAAGGTTCTAGCGTCACTGTTTTCCACAAAGGGCGTGTTTTGGTTCTGTTTTGAGAATACTGATTTCCACGAACAAGCTTTACCGTAATGAGCATGCAGTTGGGACACTCACTGAGAGTTATTTTTACTCCTTTTTGCCAGTGTGATTCATGTTAACTCATTTCAAGTTCTCTCAAAGACATTAAGGTCAGTCATTTGGTTCTGTGCTCTTTAATGTCTAGCCACTAGAGCTGGAGGAAAACTTTCATTCAAAAATGCTTCCCAGCAAAAAATGACCTTTTTTCTACATTAAAATGTTCATGGCAAATTGTAGTTTCTTTCAAAATTTTCTATTTTTGATGAAAAGAATGAAAAAACCCACAACAAAAAAAACCCCACAACATTTCTGTGAAACAAACTGAAATAAAATTTTAACTGCCTTTGAAAATTTTCACGAGAAATACCATGTCTGAAACTGTCTACTGACTGCTATTTGGTAGACATGTAATAATGATATTATACTTACAGTAATCTAAATAATAACCTTTTGGTTTGGGCATGTATTATTATGATAAACTGTGACACAGGGAGGTTGAGTGACTTCTCAAGATCATACAGGGAATCAGTTGCCCAGGAGTCCTGACTGCCGTTCTCTTTCTCTTACCACTAGCTTGTGCATTTGAACATCACTGATTGCAGCCAAATATATGGCGTTGCTCTTTTGGAGAGGGGCACCAATGAAGTGTGTTAAAGCTGTTGACCTTGACAGGGCAATGTCTTATAGTTAAGGGCGGTGGTTATCTGTCTAACCTAATCTGGCAAACCTGTAGAAGTGGTCCCAGCAACTTCTGCAGGTAATCTCTCGACACCTGCGGAGCTTGTGGGGGCGGGGTTCGCTGGACAGTGTTGCCATGGCGAGGAGCCCTGCTGCGAGGAGGACAGGAGCACTCTGAGTAGCGTGCAGGGTCAGGTTTAAGCACTAGGTTCACCAGGCCCATGCCTCTGTCTTGGCTGTGGGAATCACCTAATGATGGCACAATCCCAGCCCACCACTATGTTCACCAAGAACATTAGTGTGCGGGCCAGAGGAACATCCCTTCGTAACAATGGCAGCAACTCCTACGGATTTCCTTGGGTGCTCTGCACCTTGTCAGATTGAGCCCATGTAGCCTCCGCCAGGAAGGATCACAGAGCATTTTTTTTCAAATAGATGGGAAAGACGACACAGCATCAGTGAGTATGTTGTCAGATCTGGTGGCACATGGACCTTGGTTGTGTGACCCATAGACAGCAAGGTGCTGTAATGCTGCTGAGTGCATAATATCATGTACTCCTTGTGTCCTGATGGATCCCAGATTAGTTCACCAGTCCTGCAGGCCTTACTCATGTGAGTAGTTCCACTGAAGTCAATGGATAAAAGTTGCGGGAAGGACACACTAATTACCTATAGTACTTCTGGGGTGGTAAGGCAGTAGCACTCTGCACACTGCATGCTGGAGGGGGAGGGGATATATTGACCATGGATACCCTGATTCTTATTGGGTATATTCTTATGGGATATTAGTGTCCTCCCAGGGAAGATAGGACCTTCTTTTAAGGACTCATCCTCCCTCCCACTGCCCACAGTAAATTGCATAGTACTCCATTTATTTACTCCATCTGAGTTCACTTTATTTCAATTGTCACATTAAAAACACGTGAGAGAACAGATGCTGTTTCATTGATTTCATTTATTTATTCATTTTTGAAGTTGAAACTTGATAAAAGCAGGAAGCCTCATTAGGCAGCAGGGTAAAATCAGGCAAGGCCTGGTTATCCAGGACTGTTAGCAAGGGGTAAGGCAGGAGGTGAGACCTGGAAGATCTCTGTCATAATAGTTTGGGAGGGGGAAAAAATGAATAAGACTGATAGTTACATAAACAAAGCATAAGAAAGGCTGCAAAGAGGAGGCAGGGATCTTTCCCTGGGAGCCTCCTATTGTGAACACTCCAATCTCTTGAAACTCTTGACAAGAGAGCCCTTCACCGTTTCATGCGTCACCTCGCAGCTATAGAGGTTGTGCTTGTTGTACTCCTCTTTCGTGAGCGTCAGGGTGCTGCTCAGGCTGTACGTGCTGTCAGAAGTGTCTTGCTGCTTCTGGCTGGTGACAACACCAGTCGTGGTGGTGACATCATCCCTTTTCCAGACCACGTTCAAGGCACTCGGGTAGAAGCCACTCACCAGGCACACCACAGTGGCAGATCCCCCAGACAGCTGGTCGGCTGATGGATGAAAGATGAACACCGAAGGCTTGGCATTTTCTCTACCTGCAAAAAAGGAGAGCACAGAATATGGTGTTAATGACAACTGACCTAGGAGTGGATAGTTACACTGAGCACGGACGAAGCCATTCACAATTATCAGGCCAAATCACTCTTGCCTTATTTATGTGAGTAGTTCATCCATGAGCGACTGAGGCAAGCTGGATTTGGCCCATTAACTAATTCATCCTCCAGATACTCTTGGTAGGTAGGGAAGTATCATCATTATCCCCATTTTACGGATGGGGAAACCGAGGCACAGAGCGGTTAAGTGACACAGCAGGTCAGAATAAAGAGGGAGTCAGTGCACATAGACCATATAGGATATCAATTCAGGTTTAAGAAAACACAGGGCCAGGTCCTCTGCGGGTGTAAATCAGCACAGCTCCATGGACTCGAATGGGCTATTCAGATTGACACCTGCTGAGAATCTGCCCCATCATACCCAGTTTCATTTTGCTTACTACCTTGGCACTGCTTGTGTGCGGAAGTGCTTCCCCTGGGAGGAAGGGCTGCACAACCTGGCCCTGAGTGACGCGAGAGCCTTTGATGTGAGTGTGAGAGACTAATTAGTGCAATGCCCTGGAAAATGGCCTCACCCAAGAGATACCAGGGCAAGGTGCCAGCATGACAGCTCTGGAGGTTAAAGTCCTGTTTATCGACAGACAAGATACCGCTCATGTAGCAGTAGCAGAGCGAGCTTCCCACCACCATGCCTATATCCCTCAATCCTGAGTTAGAGGAAGGCTCTCGGAGGGTGAGAAGGTATTTCCCCCTCAACCCTGAGTCTCTCTGCTGAGATTGCCAACAAGGAAGCAAACTTACCGATGCCATGTACATGACAACATGAACCCCCCCCTCCACTGGAAGCTGCAATAAGCCCCTGTGACCTAGAGGGGAAAAGCTCCCGGGGTGAAATCTGGGCTCCATTGAAGTCAATATTAGTTTTGCCATTGACTTTACTGGAGCCAGGATTTCCCTCCAGATCTCTCTCATTGCCAGTCCCCTGAGCCATCTAATTCCTTAGGGCCTGTTTTTCAGAGGTGCTGAGCACACGTTCTTCCACTTAAAGTCAATGGGAGTTACAGGTGCTCAGTACTTTTAAAATCAGAAACCTGATTCTCCTCTCACACCAGTCACCTGCAAGATTCCATTGCCTTCAGTAGAGTTGACCCATTATATGCAGGTGGAAATAAGAAGAGAATCAAGCTCCAGATCCACAGAGGATTATTAATATTTTTCCTACTGCAACTGTCATATACGACTAGAACTAAAAACTCAAGGATCTGTTATAAAAAATAGTCAGTGTGCAGCTAGAGAAAGACATGAAGTTAAGACTGTGGCAACCTTTAGCATAGCCACTCGGAGTGAGTGTTCGTGTACCTCACTTTGTGTCACATAATCACGAAATGGGCCAGATTCTGATCTTGGTGTCAGATGTAAATCTTAGGTAACTGAGTAAAATCTCTCCCCGTATGTCAATATTCAGACTCTTGAAAACTAAGACCCAATCTTGCAATCCTTCCCCAGATAATACTCCCCCTGATTTCAATGACAGTTTTGTCTGAGCAAAGACTGCGGGATCAAGCCCTAATCTTTGTAAAGATCTGAAGAAAACATAACACAGATCACATCTTGGAAAACCAAGTCAAAGTCATTCAGTTCAGTCAGTCTCCTGCTTTGCTGCTGTATAAGCTAAAATAATAATATCTAAGTACTGAACCTAACAAAATCGGAGCCCAGACTTTTAAAATGTCTTGGGATTCCAGAAAAACACTCACATATATTTTTACGCTTATCTTAGCAAATGTACAGTATAAGATAATAGACCTGATTCTCCTTTCATTTAAACCAGTGTTAAACTGGTATAACCTCATAGCTCCGCTAACTTCAGAGATGGAGTGAGAGCACTTCTGATTTCAGTGGAGTCACACCTATTTTACACGAGTCTGAGAGGAGAATCATGCCATCTATATCTATCTATATCTATGAACAGATAGATACCATACATTTGATAGCCTCTGTAACACATTTGAAATAACACATTTTATATATTATACTACAAACAATATATAGCCCCAAACAATTTTTTAAAGTATTTTTGACTTGTTTGTGAAAAACAGTAATTGGAAAAGAAAAAAAAAGAAAAGAAAAAAAATCATTTCATTGGCTTGTCCTCCACAATGGCCGTATCACTATATTTTTTAAAATTCAAAATATAAATGAGTAGAGCATTGTGTCAAAGCTACTGAAAAACATCTTTTGTAACATAATCAGTAAAACAAAAACTTAAAATATAGGAATCAATTATATCCATTTTTTCCTAGTGCAAAATAAAAATATAGCGTACACCACTGCTACACCTGCTTTCATAGATACGTTATTATAATTGATATGACAAATGTCAAAATTTTTTTTGTAGATCTTAAAATAAAATTATTTAAAACAATTATGAGATGCATTGGATAGATATACAGCTAACAATGACTAGAGGCAGATAACTTAAACCTTATCGAATACAGCTAGCAATTAATAATGGAGGATAATTTTGTCAGACTCTACCATACTCTAACGACAACATATTTTACATTTTCCTCCGTGTTTGTGCTGGTGGCTTCCAATTAACTTATTTTGTGCAGGTTAATTATTATTTTAACAGGAATGTTTGTCTGCTCTTTAGGTAGTTTTTTAGTATTTTCTCTACATTTCTTAAACTATTTTTTTCTAAAACTGGACTTTTCTTGTTAACGTCAGTCTAATCTATTTTATCAGTCTAGTCCCATCTAATCTGTTTAATCATTTGTCAGTGTGTTGATCACTGTGGCATCTGGGCACACCGCTTACATTATTTGAGAGACAATTTTCAGTTTCTCTTAATGGGATGTACTGCCAAAATGCTGAATTAAAACAAAAACACTTGTATATGGCTTGATCCAAGTCCTACTGAAGTCAATGGGAGTATTTCTAGTGACTTCAGTGGCTGCTGGATCATGACCTTCGTTATGAAACTTTGGGATTTTTCCACTTAAAATCTATAGACAAGAGGATGGCTGAATTTTTACTAATAGTGTCGATAGCCTCAGATGAAGACTGAAGACCAACACTGTCACTAGCCTAGAATTCAGCCATCATATTCTTATTTGTAAATAAAATTAGACTTTTCTTTAAACATTCCCCTTTGATTTTTAATTCTTACAATTAAATGTACGGATTTGACAACTAACGACTGGGAATGGGGTTAGACAGCAAGGAAAGGGACAGAGAGAAAAAACAGCATTTTTCCACATTTGTGCATTAAATCAAGCAAAAACAACGGGGAGTAATCACAAATAAAATGTACTTACGTTTTATCTCCAACTTGGTCCCTTTGCCAAAAGTGAGCCACAGTGATTGTCTATAACCTTCCTCTTTTACAGAAACCTTTTTATTGTACAACTAAATGGGCTCTCAATTGTAAGTAGGTTAATTTACGTAAAATAGAGCAGTTTAACCCAAATTCCATCCAGGGAGGTGGAAGTATTTTCCACTCATGAGGACAGGGATATTTTATACAAATACTTCACATATCTACAGCCTCAGTAATTTTGTCAGTGATCCCATTTCACGAATTACAGACAAAAATTGTGAATATGGACAAATTGGACATAGAAAATCTGAAGAGAGTTCAAAAATGCACTTACGTTTTATCTCCAACTTGGTCCCCTTCCCGAAAGTGAACCACAGTGAATGCCTGTGAACTTCCCCCTCTACAAAAACCTTTTTACTGTGAAACTAAATGGGCTGTCAACTATATTTATGTAAAATATAACAATTTAGCCCAAATTTCATCTTTGGAGGTGACGGTATTTTCTGTCCTCAAAGACAGGGTTATTTCATACACCTTACAAATCTATGATGAGAGCAATTCTGTCGGCACTCATATTTCACAAATTGCAGATACCCCCCCGCCAAAAAAATTGTGAAAATAGCAAACTGGACAAAGAGAATTGGAAGAGAGTAAAAAATGCACTTACGTTTTATCTCCAACTTGGTCCCTTTGCCAAAAGTGATCCACAGTGATTGCCTATCAACTTCCTCTCCTACAGAAACCTATTTACTGTGTAGCTAAATGGGCCCACTGTAGGCTGGCTAATTCATGCAATATGTAACAATTTAGCTCTAAAATTCCACCTAAGGAGGAAGAGGTGTTTTCTTTCCTCAAGGATATGTTCATTTTATACACTTTACCAGTCTCATCTCCTGGTAATTTTCTTAGCGTTCTCATATCACCAATTACCCCAATGCAAAAAAACCCAAAAACCATGAAAATGGACAAATGTGGCAAAGAAAACTGAAGAGCACTAAGAAAAATGTACTTACGTTTGATCTCGACCCGGGTCCCTTTGCCGAAAGTGTACCACAGTGCTTCCTTGCTACCTGTTCCCTCTACAAAAACCTCAGTTCCTCCTAACCTAGGCCATTAGATGCATGAGTGGTACAGTATGTTTTAGAAATATGGGGCCAGAGCCTTTGTTAGTGTAACTTGGCATAACTCTGTTGGAGTCCCAATGTTGGAGAATGGGAAATACTGCACTGATTTACGTCAGCTGAGGGTCTGGCCAGCAACATTTTTGACCACTACCAGACATGTAACATTTACTGAATTTCCCTGGTCTGGAGTGAAAAGCAAAGTTCTACTTTCTTCAAATTAATCTCTTTTCTATTACAGTTGAACTGTATCTGCCCTGAAAACCATCCTTTACCTGCAATTTCCAACACCAACAGATATTCACTTTATAATTCGACAGTGTTAACAAAGACAAATTTAAAGACAGAATAGACAGCGAAAACAGAATCATTTCAAGGTACTTACGTTTTATTTCTACCTTGGTTCCTTTACCGAACGTCCACCACAGTGATCAGTTCCTATCGCCTCGCTGTACAAAAACCTGACAGCAGAAGGGGAAGGAGCATTTGGTTCACTTGTTAAAGCTCATTTCCCCTATAAAAATGTTTTTTTCCATTGTGCAAAACTGAGACTTCAGTGCTAGGTCGAGTGACCTTGGTTTCATCATCTATAAATAGTCAAGAAGTTAGATAGAAGTTATGATCAGATCAATACATCCTATCTTCTCTCCCGTCCCTCTGCTCCCACGTCCGTATTGACACATATTGTAACCCTCGTCACATGCTGTATTCCTTGAAAGCAAAAATGCCGAAACTATCAGACATGGGTCCAAGTGCAAAGTTTGGATTCAGATTCAAACTTTTCCAAAGTTCAGGATGTTCATATGCAGGATTTTGGTTCACGTCCAACTCCAGAAAATGTAGCTGTAGTATTGAGCACACCACCCAGATTTTGCATGAGCTGCAGAGCTTATTTCACATACAGCAAACCATACATTGACAAAATACTTGCACAAACAAATGAGCAATGGACTTGATTCTGCTCTCCCTTATGTAGGTATAAATTAGGAGTTACTTCATTGAGATCAATGGAGTTATACCAGTGTTAGCATGGAACTTGCTGGATATTTTCTGTACCAGGCCAAGGAAGGATACGGGGCCTAGAAATTCTTGCATAGAAAAGGACATATGCAGTTTGTGTTGGAGCAAAGCACTGCAACTGGGAACTTTCTAAGGTATGACAGAAGGTTGCCATGGTGCACAGAATGCTGATCTAGCATGATTTAGCTGAGTGGTACTGAGACTGAACTCAACTGGGGCTCAAACACTACCAAATTAGGTGGCGTTTACCTACAGCTCAGAGAGATGTTGAGGTGAGATTGTGTTTGGGGGACCTGGCTGCATGCCAGTTATCAGTTCCTTCATCATATTCACAGCACCAGCTGTCACATCATTATCACTGGGGCCCTCTGTGGCAATGATCTCCTGCTATTGAGGTATCCAACAGCCAGGTCTGTTCTGCAGTCTGAATAAGACCTCTGGGATGATGGGGTTATTGGTGAGAATAACTCTTATTTCTTGAATGAATCTGACGAGTTGTAGGGTTCTTTAGAAGCACTTCTAATCCCCAGGGGGACAAAATAAATAAAGGCTAGCAACTTCCTCCAAAGATGCCAATTTCCCCCGTTTATAACCAGGGTACCTGAGACCATCCTATCTAGGCCGAAAACCAAAAGGCACTCCCTGTTCAAAGTTATGCAGTACCTTGAGAAAGGTTAGCCCTGACTGTACTAACCCAGGCTAGATGGTGAAGGACCTGAGCCCAACACTGAAACCATCCTAGGTGTCTCCAAAGTGGCTGAGCGTAACTCCTTTGTGCCTAGGGATAGCTCTGCTACATCTCCCACTCCCACTGTGAGAACCTGCTGCTCCAGGTGGTCTTAGCTTGTGGCTAAAGATGTCAAGACTCAGCTTGCCCTGCCCCAGCCTGTGTTTCTAGATGACAGGATGCAGCAGGATGGAGAATACATTCATCCTGATACTTCACGTCTGCATCAGAAACTACCAGACCTCTTAGGCAAGAATGAGAGCTCGGGAAGAGAAGTGGTTGGCTTTTCAGAGTCTCCTGCAGGGGAAAGATGGGGCATTGACGATGCTGTTCACAGAAGTCATGAACATGGGCTGGCACCAGGTTCATGATGTGGCACAACCACAAGAGAGGGCCACAGTCAGCAGGGGTATCTCTGCCCTGCCGCTGGCAGGTGTGACCAGGTAGATGTCCCCACGCTCACTCTGCTTGAGCTAGCGTGCGAAACGTAACAGTGTGGCTGCAGTGGCCTGGGCTCGCCACCCGAGTACGAAGCTAGGATCTTTGAGCAGTCCTTTGAGATGCTTTGGGCAGGGGGTTGGACTAGATGACCTCCTAAGGTCCCTTCCAACCCGGAGATTCTCTGATATTCTGTGATCTTGGGCAGGGTTGTACTGAGGGGGCTAGCTCAAGCCACTGCCTGTGCTGCTGTGGCCACACTGCTATTTTTAGCACGCTAGCTCCAGCAGAGCTAGCCCATGTAAGTCTGCCTGGGCTGGGCATTAAGCTCCCAGATGGGGTGGTGATGAAAACAGGGACCAGGTGAGCAAAGAAACAGACTCTAAACCTGAAAATGTAGAAGCTGAATCTGAAAATGCAAATGAGGAACTGGAGGAACAAGTGATGAGAGATCTTCTTCACTGGCCTGTTTGAGAGAAGGGCAGGTGCAATTAGGGTGGGATTTTCAAAGGAGCCCAAGGGGGTTAGGTGCCCAAATCCCATTGAATTTTGGCCTCTAACTCCCTTAGGCTCTTTTGAAACCCCTAGCCTTAGAAGCTGTGAAAAGAGGGCAGGACCAGGAGAGAGAATTTTGATCAGTTTGAAAAAGACAATTAAAATGGTGAGGCTGAGGCAGGCTGGCCAGGGCTGACCACAGGGGAATTTCTCCCTCAACCCCGAGTATATGAAGGATTTGTGGCCTGAGCCAAAGCCCATTTAAGTCAAGGGGAGTTGTCCCATGCACTCCAACGGGCTTTGGATCAGGCCCTTGGCTATTGGAAAACGTTTTGTGTTGAGCTCTCTGGGAGGGGCCTAGATGCTCCGGTGCTAGCTGTCAGTGTATGACCGTAAGATACATTTTCTGAACATTTCCTTCTTGCCTGTGTTTGAGTTTTCAGTTGTCTCTTTTCATTGCATGTTTCTGCTTCTTTCTTTTCACCTCAGTTGTCTTTGCTTCCACCTTCGTCAGAGTCTATATTCCGTCATTATTATTTTTATAGCTGGTGTAACCGTTCCCTCTTCCCTTGCCTCCTTCTCCTCTGCTCTCCCTGTGTTGTGTTCTTTTCCTCCTTCACCCACATTGTCAGCCTCTTGCTTCTTTTACTAATCCTGCCTTCTGTTTTCTCACCCTCTGGCCATGTCTACACTAGCAAATGGAGTGCGACGTTGCCTCATTGCTTACACCAGCACAAGGGCAAGTGTAGACGGGTCTCAGACATTGTCAGCACTTTGTCCTAAAGTCCTCCTCTGAAATGCCTGAGCCTGGCCTCCACTAGTCCTTGCGCCATTGGGCGTCCCGGAGCGTCCGCCATGACACTGAAAAGTGGGCACCACATTTAATAGTGTAGGGGCAACCTCTGTGTACTCTTCCCAGCTCCACAGACTCTCCTACCTCCCACCCACAAATCACACACACATAGGATCCTACATGGCATAGACAATACCACACAGACACACTCTCCTCCCTCCCCTGCAAAAAAAACCTTGCTCATGATCTCCTGACTCCCCACAAAAGTCATGTCCCCTCCCAGTCCCCTATAACTTACATGAGCTTGCTTTCTCTACAAATCACTCTCTCTCTCTTCCCCACCCCCTTTCTCTCTCACACAGAGCTCTCTTCCGGATTCACACTCACACAAACATACAGTCAACCCCTTCACACACAAGCTGTCCCCCTGTACACACAAGATAGCTCAGTGGGGGGAGGGGTAGCTCAGTGGTTTGAGCATTGGCCTGCTAAACCCAGGGTTGTGAGTTCAATCCTGGAGGGGGCCATTTAGGGATCTGGCGCAAAAATTGGGGATTGGGGATTAGACTAGATGACCTCCTGAGGTCCCTTCCAACCCTGATATTCTATGATACAAGCAGTGCCACCTCACATGGAGTCAGCCCCTCACGTACAGGCAGTGTTCCCTCACATACAGTCAGCCCCTCTCACACAGGCAATCCTCCCCCAGATACAATCAGCTGCTTACACACAGGCAGTCCCCCCTCAGATACAATCAGCCCCTCACGCACACACACCCAGAGGCAGTACCATCTCTCCCACAGGCAGTCCCCCCCTCCCGAAACACAGGCTGTCTTCCTTGCATGCAGTCAGCCCCTCACACCAGGCAGCCCCCTCCTCCCTTAGCAGCCACACCCATATGTCCCCTCCTCTCCTCTCCACACACAGGGCTTTTGATACTAGAAAGGAAGCAACAGTTTAGGGGCCTGAGGGGCCCTGGCAGGAACAAGCCAGCCCTGCCCTGTTGCGGACTCTGGGCTATGGAACTCCTGCCAGCCATGTGTATGGTGCCTGTTCCCCACAGCGTGGGTGGATTGTGTGTACCCACAGTCGCAGAACCGCGTTGCAGGTAAGTCATCTCATTTCCCTACATCCCTAGGTTGCCAGAGCATTTTCAGCACATGGATCCTTCCCTCCACCCTGCCCCTGTGATGTGTTCCAGCACGGGGGTACCAGTTGTCTCGAGATGATCAGCCATCAGCATGACCCTGCCTGTCGTCTCTTACTGAAGAAAGATCAGGGTGTCTTTACTCTGCCGGGGATAATTAATATCAATGCAGTGAGGGGTGATAACCTTAGGCTCTGGCTTTTCAATGGAGGGGTTCTGTCTGCAAGAGGCCCCCTTTGACTTCCAGAGAAGTTACGCACAAGGGGCTTGGTTAATACTGTGGGCACTGGGTGTGTGCCACTGTGGCTGCAGGCAAGGGTGCCAGGACCTTTGTAGAACGGGGGGGAGGGGAGGGGGGGGCAAG